AAAAATCTGGAATATATCTTGAGCGATTGGAAATTGATTTTGATAATACTTTGATCATGTTCCATTCCTTTTTGAATTCTAATTTCAATCCAATTGTCTCCTAGCAATCTTCAACGTATCTTCTTGAATATTTGCAATTTGATCCTCAAACTTTGAATCTTACCTTGTTCACCATATTTTGTTTATTTTCTCCAATTTTTCAGCAAACATAAAATTTTAACTACCCAATGCAATATAACATAAATTATGTAAAATTTTGCCAAAAGATCAATAAAATTCTATAATTTTAAACCCCGAATAAGTGTGGAAAATACACTTATCAGAGACAAATAAGCTCATAGTCCAATTCAGTTTATGCATGGGTATGGTTATTGTACTGGTTTGAATTAGATTATCAATTTTTAGATAAAGTTGGTTTAATGTGATTTCATCTAAAAGTATTTTCAAAGTATGAATCTTTTTTTAAAAATTAGTTTTCAAACAAAAATTAAGATAAATTTATTCAAAAGCTCTTCTACAGAAATCAAAAACTATTTTGACACCGTTGTGTTTTTTTATATTGTAAGCGTACGATATAATAATAACCAGTACAGTGGACTTTTGAATTCGGATATCGTTTTCACGAGAACTATACTTTAGGATTTAATCTAATTTTTCCGACTACTATTTGACAAAAGCAATTAAAATTTATGATGATTGTGATTATTTTTTCCTAACTACTTTTAGCTAATTGAAAATATAAAAAGATTGCAAATAACGGATAATTGAATAAACAAATATGTGGTGAATATTAGGGTATAACAATTTTATCTATTGATCACCTTAATTCTTAATTCAAGATTCATAATCTAATGTAATATTCGATCGAATTCTTTTATTATATTCAATTTACCCATCTCGAGTTTTCATTGAGCCTATCTAACTAATTAAATTCTTTTTCAACTACACTTATCAGACACCACTAAGTGTAGAAACTACACTTATCAGACACCACTAAGTAGGCTTTGATATTAAGTCCAAACCTTTGAGGATGTCCCCAAGACTCCATCCTCCCATAAATCAACAAAGTTACTCTCCAATGACAAATTAAATTAAATTTGCCATTAATAACGTGACGTGCACACGACCTTTTGAAAAAAAGGGTGAAAATATAAAACTCATGAAAATGTAACGAAAACGTAAAAATCGAACTTTATAGGAATTGAGACAACCCATACGATCTTCGATCAAAGAAATATTAAGAAGACAAAAACATAAAAAGATGTAGAACAAATAAAACCTTTGTATTATGAATTTCTTGCTCAAGTATAGTAAAATAACAAAATGCCAACTTTACCTCACCCCACAACTTTTGCGCAAACCCAATTTTCTTTCAATTAAGTGCCATTTTCTAATTTTAGCACTTTTCAGCCAAAGAAAATAATACACTAGGCGGCTAGTATCATATTCTTGCCTGGTGGAAGATTTATTTTATTTTATAATATAATATTAATTTGAAAGATGGATTTGTTCACTACACGTGATGCTTATAATTAATTCTGTGGCGGTCAAGGGCATGCAATCATTTATGTCCTTATTAGAGCTTGTTTGGGAGGGATTTTTGGGGGAAGTTAACTAAACTTATCACTATACTACTCTTTACACATCAACTTTTTCTTCTTTTTTAATAACTATACTACCTTTTATAATAAAATAACTTTTTACACACCAACTTTTACTCTTAACTAAATAACATCTTTTTAGTTAGAGAGCGTTTGAGGGCTTTAATAGCATATTGCTAATACAATTTCGATTCGAGTAATGCTATTCATTCCCATTAGGAATGAAAATACAGTTTACGTGACGTTAATGTAGCATTAAATGATAAGTGAAATTAAATAAGTCATTTAACTTCACATTTCATTTAATCTATCATTTAAAACCACATAAACTGTGTTTTCATTCTCACTGAGAATGAATAACATTACTCTTTTGATTCATCTAACATTTTCTATTTGACGCCACCTAGATTACAATCTATGAAATACATTGGATAACATAAATAAAATAAGAATAATGATGTGGCATTTAATAGGCATTATTTTATGGAAAAAGCTATTTGTACAATATTAGTGTACAGCCTTGTACACGGCTCTCTCACAATCGTGGGCCCCACGATTATTTTATAGTCATGGGCCCCACTATTGTTGTGAGAGAGCTGTGTAACTTGATGTATAACAGTGTTGTACACCAAGCATCTCTCTTATTTTATACACCAATGAAATCTGAATATATTTTTATATATTGTACAATATGACGATAACATTACTATGACATTAATTGTCGCTCTTATTCTTTTAGCTATATGGATATTAACTTCATTTAAAGTGACAAAATAATTAAGACCGCCAAGCATTACTCATGAAATTAACATTGTCACGTTCAAGCATCCTAATGAGCCAAATTGAAATCTTGCATCATTGGCCTGCCCGCCTACCCCAGCTTGATGGTCATTATTTGAAATAAAACAATTTTTAAATAATAATTTTTAAGAGAATGTGTGGATAAAAAATTAGAAAATCTTTTAAATAATGGTTTATTTTTAAGAGAATATTTTATTGTATGAATGTATAATTAAAAATGAGTATGTAAAAAAAAATTCAAATAATGGTTGTCAAAAACTACATAGTATTTGATGGGCAATGGCTCAAAAAAACATAGGACCCAGTAGCAAATGATAATTTAAAACAAGTGCTAATTACATCAAATCAGAATTTTTAATATACAATTCCAAAAATCAGATATAAAGTTTATTTATACAAAAATCAGATACTAATTCAAATATTTAATATTATTAATACCACCAAAATTCATCTCAATCCCTAATTACTCTCTTTCTCTCTCTCTCACGCATCCCCTTTCTTTCTTTTTACCCACCGTTTTTCTCTCTCCCTCACACACATCGCTCTCTCCCCCGTCCCTACGCCAATCTGCTCGTCTTACGAAAATGTCGCCATCGTCAGTGTGAAGCGCCACTACCGTCGTCGTGACAGTTGTAAAGATACCACCACCACTACGCTCAAGACGCCACCATCGAACAGCGTCGAAGCGCCACCACCATCACTCGACAGTTGCGAAGACACCACCACCACTGCGCTCAAGATGCCACCATCAAGCGGCGTCGCTATGAAGCAGCAACGCCGCTGCGAAGACGTTGCTGCAGCCCATCATTTCGTAACACCACATCTCGATCTGCGCAACTTCGGGGCTATGTTGGCTGGCAATGTCAAACTAATATTGTGGGTTGTGATTTGTAGTTTGTGGTGAGTGCTGGTGATATTTTTAGCTTGTGGTTTCCGGTGATGAACATCGCTCTGTGGTTTTCCGTCTAGGTTGTGTTGGTGCAGGTGGATCTGTTGTGGTGTTTTTTTGGGGGTGTGTTTGTACATCCGGGTGTTTTTTTTTTTTTTTTTGGTGATGGTGGTGCATTCTGGCCATTGGTGGGATGGTGGATCTAACACTATTGACGGTGTTGGTGGTGGATTTGGTGGCTGCGGTATTTTTGTTGGATTTAGTGGTGGTAGATCTAGTCGTGACAGTGATAGTTTTGTAGTTGAAAATGGTGGTCGAGAGGTGATGGTTTTGGCCACGACGACGATAGTGGTGCTGAAGGGAGTGGTAAGGTGAGGTAAGGTGGTGGTTACAAGTGTTGGTTGATGTCACAAATTACTTGGTTGATTGTAACCATTAAATTGGTTAATCCGGGACCAATATACAATATGTGATCAATGAAAAAAATAAATTGTGATCAAGAAATAATGTGTAACCTAAAAAATTGTTAATTTGTATTGATAGTTTGAAAATTTGTGATTATCTAATAAGTTGTGATTTGTGACCGTTAAATAAATCGTGACGTATAATTTTTTTATTTGTTACCGATTAACAAATTGTAACGGTAAGATAATTTGTAATATAAAATTTATGATTGAAAATTTGTGACCATTTGATTAGTTGTGACTTATAATATTTGTGATTTGTAACTGATAAATAAATTGTGATGTATAAATTTTTTTATTTGTGATAGATGAACAAATTATGACTTATAAAATTTTTAAATATTGGTCGTAAGATAATTTGTGATATAAAATTTTGAATTTGTGACCAAAAAATAATCATGACTAATTAAATTGTTAATTTGTAATCAAGTTTCATAAAATTGTGACCTTAATATATTTAATTAATTAATTAATTAAATCATAAATAAATTTTAATTAGTATCTGATTCTGGGGGGTAGGCCCAACTTAGACGGGCGTAGTCCATTCCATGAAAATGAAATATAAGGAAAAAAATGCTTCAGTTCAGGCCACTTTCTCCCCTTAGCTTTTTACTCGTTGGGTAGTTTAATAGAGCAATTTTTAACCCGGCAATAAACACAGCTCAAACTGTAATTATATTGAGACCAAATTTCCTGAAAAACGCTCAAGTAAACACAAATATCAACAACAAACAAACTATAAATATATATATTTGTTTCTTCAAGGTAAAATCTGCAGATACTTACACATTAGGATGTGAGAATGACTGAAAGGATAGGAAGAAAGAATTTCAAGAACCAAGAATTCAGCCTATCCATTCATATACCCTAAAAAGCTGCTATATCCTCCGACACCAGACGATGGATATAATCACCATAAGATTGTTCTGCCTACCTCATTCATAGCCTATAACCATTATATCCTCCGATACCAGATGATCTGTAGTCACCATAAGGTTGTCTGTCATACGACGATGAGTAAGAGTTACTACCTAAATGAGCGTAGGAATGCCGTGAAGTCGAGTCCAGCTGGCCGTAACTACTTGGAAGTGATTCTTTATGACTGCTTGTGAACTCCTGGATAAGACGGAGTTTTATAATTAGTCTTAACTACATTCGATTAGTAAAGAAATACAGAATTAAAAACTCATTTGTGAAGGCAATTCCTTCAATGCTACAATCATGCAGAGTCACAGACCTGATGCATTCATGCAAAGTAATTACACTATGGGCTTGTTTGTGAATGATTTTAATCCAATTAAAATTGAAAATATAATCGTTATTGGGTCCCACCCATCTAATAAAAGTCAATAACGGCTAGTTTTTCAATTTTAATCCAATTTAATCCTTCCCAAACAAGCTCTATATTCAAAGATTGTGAATGGAAATAATGAAATGGGGAAATAGCACAATTGATCCCAAACCTATTATCCCAATAGCAATTTCGCCCCCAACATTTAAATGTAGTTGTACAATGAGTCCATATCGTTAGAAAGCATCTAAATCTCCAATAAACTGAGTGAAAACATAACTGACTTCAAATTTTTGGGGCGCCAGCCCAAGTTGGGAAACAAAATCTAGCTTCATAAAGTTGGAACTTGGACGTGTAAAGGTCATATGACGATGTAATAGAGATGAACCGACAGTGCACCTGTAATAATAAAATGATAGGGACCAACTTGCTCGCTTGTAAAGGTTGGGGAACAACTTGTTATTCAAACAATAGGTTGGAAATTTGTTAGCTGACTGACTTTCTTGAACATCGATACGTAAAAAAGTTGCAGCAACATGCTTTTCTTAGCTTTGCAGTGATCATCATGATTGACAAAAAAATAAACCAAAACGTGTATTCTCAATTTGGAAAAGATAAGAGAAAATAGAGAGATGGAAGGAGATGTTTACCTGAATTAGTTGCTGAGCTGCTTGGACTTGTGAAGAAGTTCCTTTTATTTCAACAGTGATTTCCTCAGGTAGGCCTCTACTTTCTTGCACGGTGAGGATAGCACCACTAGTCCGCCGAATATAGGCTATATTTGCTCCCCCGACCCCGATTATATCCTCGGCATAAGCCAGTGGTATTTGCATTGTCTGTGCAATCTACACAGAAGAATCAAGATACCATATATTAACACCAGCAGAGGTGAACAAGAATATCCTGCAAGTTGTTAGTGAATATATAACATGTAAAGGAGTTTAACAAATTTGTTTCGTGTGTATCTGCCTGCATATGGTCCAGCTTAGATCGAATTTTAGATTTGGAAAGCAAAGCATGAGTTCTACTGAGAAGGTCAGTTTCGATTTTGACCCTGGACAGTGGAAAACCTAACATATCATAATAGTTTGTGCCCTCGTATTCAAACCCAAAACCTTAGAACAATTAGTCCCAGTAGTGAGCACACTTCTTGCCTCCTGTGCATCGATTCGATATAGGAAAAGGATACAACGGACGCCCCCCCCCCACCCCCCCATGCCTCCAATCTCGTAACTTTTTCTTCATCCATGAAAAGAATTCTTTGCAATCTATACTATATGATTTTCTCAAACAGAACACTCTACCGCAGAAATAAACGCGGTTGAAAAAATGGAAAATGACACCCACAGAAGCCCCACTGTTTTACTTGAAAGGTAAGGTTGCTATTGACATAACAAGAATATGATATTCAGACGTCCCATTAATTTGTCCCACTATTTCTCTATATTTTTCTTCGACAGATATTTTACCCCTCAGGTGCTAAACCTACATATCACAAGGAAAAACAAAACACCAAGAGAGAGGAGACAACTATAAATGCTGCTGCTAGAGTTCAGCATTAATTTGTATTTCGTATACAAGGGTGTTCTCTAAATTTCCAAATGAGGAGAAGCAGAATAAGTAAACAATGTAAATTTTGACTAAGACAAATGTATCTGAATAGTTTAGCAGTAAACCAACATGAAAACAGTTACACACCTGAGTTACAACAGGCCTACTAGTACGCCCCATTGCTGAAATACGAAGGTCAAGGCTGGACTCTGGTCCATACAAGGAAAGCCTAGAAGGAGTAACACGTGATTCCATCAAGCTATCACGATCTAGAAATAGAGAATCCCTCTTCACTGGAAGAGGGTAATCAGTGTCAATTACTGTCTCTGAAGTAGAAGAATGCAATGTCTTGTCAGACCAAGCGTCTACTTGTCGTTCCTGAGAGACTGGTGCATTATACTGTAGAAGAAGTAAATAAACAATCATAAATAGATTAAGAGTGACATGATCATGGATCATTAAAAACAAAAAGGAACGTACTTACATTCTTCTCAAATAGGGGAAGAACAGTGTGATCCACCAAGAATTTTCTCAGGTGCCCCAGCACAGCTTCTAAGCCTTTAAGAACCTTGAGAGCTTCCCCATGTAACTCAACAATCCTTTCATCAGAACTGGCATAAATTGGCAATTCATCTGCAACCGCAAATGTCAAATATCATATATCAATTTCAGTATGAAAAATTGTCTTAAAATAAATGCAGAATTTCTTTTGTGTCAAATAACAGTTCAATGCACTAATGCCACTGAAATTTTAGTCTTCATAAAAATCTTGCATGCACTATATGCGTGTCAATCAAATCATTTAGATTTTCTCAAAGAAAATATTCTTATAGAGAAGATAATTTCTGCATCTCCTCATAAGCCTGACAGAGTAACATTCAGATAGTAGCCATACTGATAATGTGCTAATGTTAAATTAAGACAACTAAACCTTGAACATATCAATCAGAGCCAGTTAAGTTGCATCTTCAAATTCTTTTATGTTTTCCAAGATGTGGGGACACGTGTTGTTTATCCCATTTCCATTAATTTTTTAAAAATGAGAAACATATGTGCTCCAACGAGTAATTTATTCCAGATTCTTCTGTCAATGTCTACCCAAATCATTCTCACAAAATGAAGGGGGAGGTATGGGCATGATGCAAGCAATATAATTCAGGTTATGAAAGGAAATTAAAATACCATTGGAGAGAACCCTCACAGTGGCACCGGAGCTCTCCTGAATCGACTTGATCACAGAGCCTTGTCTTCCTATCAAACTAGTGGCTTGTGCTGATGCCACAATTAATCGAATCAAACAAAATGCAGCTCCAGCTGCATCAGGGGCTTCACCATCAGGTAGTCCATGGAGATTTCTAAATATTCTTATCGCAGCATCCATGGCAGGAGGAAACAGTGCTTCTGGTTCTTCCTTCCCAGATATTAGAACCTACAATTTAGCAAGTCGGAAAAATCATGTGTCAGTAAGTTAAAAATGAAAAACAATCAACAAAATTAAAAGTTCAACTTGCACAGGAGCATAAAATAGATCGATAAAGTAGAAAATAACTAAACAAGAAAGCCCAAAAAGCTATAGCCAGTAATAAAATGCAAAGAGAAGACGAGACAAATGGGCGAACAGCTTAGTCACCATGAGGCTTAGCCCATGTTAGGGCAATGTTTATAAACTGTTTATAATCGATCAAAACTATTTATCCACACATTTCGTGGGACCCACAAGTACTACCCACTACTCACCACTCATTTTTATATGTTTATCATTAAAACCTTTTAAAAACACTTCCCAAACGTGTATTAAGTCTCAAGGCGTGCACCTTCATAAATCAAGAAGTCATCCTTTCAAATGGCATTTAAAGCGTAAGCTTTGAGGCTTTTAATGAAAGCCTCACCTTGAGGTGGAACTAAAGGCGTAAGCCTCAAAAGTCTTTTTTAAACATTGATATGCATTTCTTACGAACACCATGTAAGTCTAAGAATGTTTTTGATAATTCATCAGCTTCATCTAATGACAAGCAGTTTTTTTATCAAGCAAGGCAAGTATTATTTTCAATAGGACATTTTTTATTACAAGAAGAACAGAAATTTTGTCCCTGGTTGAACACACAGAACCCCCAATATATCAGAAACCCACAACCTTTAAAATCGTATCTATTGCCAAAGACATAACTTTCACCTCCAAGAAACCCAACAAAATATTTTAAAAGGTTTGAAAAAGATAAAGATATTATAAAGAGCAGGACAACAAATAAAAAATGCATATCCAACTGAAATCTCTTAATCTCATCCTGAAACAATGGAAAGGAAAATTATCAATAACCTTGGAACAAAATGAATACATACCCTAGAACAATCTTTGAGTTTATTATAAAAACACTAGAAATCTGGACATATAAGTCATCCGAACATGTAATGAAGAATCAAAAAACCTAAAACTCCTAGAAATAAAGATGAAACCTTGACATCATCTAATTTATAAAATTGAAAGCAATAACAAACACTAGCATTGAATCATATATGTGCACATACCCATCCATATACATTAAATATATAGTAAGAAATGTGGAGAATTTAATTACAATGCGATCGGGAGAGGTGACAGGTCCATCAAGAACGCGAACCCTAGCACGGGTCTCCTCAACAAGCTTCTTAATTAAATCTCCCTTGCGCCCAATAATGCCGCCCACTTTTAGTACCGGCACCACTATTCGGAACACGCTGTACCCCGGCCAACCCGGCCACTTAGCCTTCGTTTCCTGTAATTCCTTATCTTTTTCATCCACCACCAGAGCTCCGGCTTCCGCTGGCTCAGCTACAGCTGGAGCCTCTGTTATTGCCTCAGGCGAGGCGGCGGGCTCTGCTTGAAAGTTTTCAGCTAGTGCTATTTGTGTCTCCGTCCCCATCAGGAAGGCGGCGTTGGTTGCTGTGGTTGGTTGAGCTGAAGCCATTGTTTTGCGTGAAAGTGCGAGAGACTGAGAGTCTGAAGTAGGGGTGAGGGTTTTCATTTAGGGTTTTAATAATTCATAAATTAATACCTATAATTATAAACAAAAATTACAAGTAGGTCCTTTTTTATTAGTGATAGAGTAAGTAAGTTCTCAACTTCTAATTTACGCTAAATGAATTTTTGATCTTTCTTTTTTATGGCAAGGGATCCCTATTGGACCATTTTCATTCATTTAAAAGTTAAAAATGTCATTTTTTATCGAAAAATTGTTTTACTCATTAAACAAAAAAATAAAAACTTAAAACGGGCAAGAAAGAGATTAAAACATAAAATATGATGAGTAAAGAGAAATTCAGGGAGTCATTATTTTCACCCACAATTCTTATGTATCTATCACACTCTAAATCTTAAAGTCTATCCCTATTATAATTTTTTAATTTTTTAAAGCGTATATTACATTGCTGAGACATGTCTTCCCATCTTTATCTAGTTGACGAACACCACCTCTTTTCTCAATTGTCTTTCTTTTACGGAGTTGCCTTTGAAACCTTTCATAGATTAGCATTTACTGTATCAACCCCAGAAGTAGCAACCCGTGCCTTGCTTCTTTCAACTAAATAAATAGAGTATTCAAGGAGAAATGATACGTGGAAAAATTGTAGATATGGCTTTACAGAATACTACATGGCAACATATGATTGAATTTTGGACAAAAAATAAAGTTAAAATAGACAATTAGGCACTGGCATCTCAGTGCTTGTAAAACTGTCTATGTAATTTATCTGTACAAGTATCATTTCTCATATTCAAGAGAGAAACAGATCATTTAGCATGATCATTTTACAAAATGTGGAACAAATAAGAAATTATAAGAAAATGAAAACTCACCTATGCATTGCAATAGATGTCAACAATGGAAGAGACATAATATATGTTCTTCAAACAATGATTTGAAGGAAAACTGCAAGTCACTTGTATGCTTAGATAAATTTATGAAATTTGTGAATTGCTTTGCAATTCGGGGATTTTTGATGCAATCATCTCGCTATTGTTTTTCTTTCTTTCTTCTTGATGCAAAGTCATCTCTCTATTTGTTAATTTGAGAATTTACTTGACGTATTAGATAAACAAATTTTTAACATTTTGCCCCTCTTGCTTTCATCATTATAGCAATAGACCCCCTTTCAATACTATTGCAATAGACCCCCTCCAATTCCAAACATATAGTGAAAGTGGCCAAATGGTCACAGCAATTTCTCAAATAGATAAAATTTCAAGTTCAACAGTAATATTGTCTTCAACACAACAAATTTTCACAACCCACCCAAGAATAATCAAATTAACTAAAGCAATTCTAACATAAAAATTGAATCTCCAACTCCTTGTCTATCACTAAGTTCCCTCTACTGTAATAATCACACCACCACCAATAAAAATTTCTGCACCAAAACGAAATCGAAAGGGGAAAAAAAGGAGAAAACTGTACACCGCGGTTAACACTTGACAGCTTAGCCTTGCTTGTTCATGCCACCATTTTTATAAGCTTCCGACAAAATTTTCTCATAGCCGAACCAGCACATACTTGAGTTTTTAGAATATTAACTGCTAAACGGGTATGACATCTATCTTCGAAGAGTCCTCATATCTTAACACAATGCCTTCGAGACTGGCCGGAAGAATGCATTTAATCCACTGACATCCAGTTGAAAAAGGTTCGGGTGGAGGAACAATCATCAGAACGTTATCGTTCCGCTGCACGACTCCCATCACGCTGACAGTGCTACCTTCTTTGATGCACCTAAACATAATTTACAATGAGAGTGAAAAAGTGATCATCAACTACATTATTCCAATGAAAACTAAATTTAAATAAATTAATACGTCCCCTTTGACGTTTTAGATGATGTAGTTCAAGGTGATATTAGAACAAGCAAAGATCATGAGTTCAACTCTAGCCACCATCCTTTATGAAAACCATACATTGTTTCAAGCCTTTGATGGAACATAAATCCAATCTGTAAGGAGGGTGAAAACTAATGTTAAAACATATAAAAATGTCTCCTCTCTGACAACTTAAACTTTTAGATGATGTAGTTCAACACATTCGTGTCATGCTACCCGCACATGAGAATTCCACAACGCAAACCGTTCCCACTTTTGCCTCTTTAGTTCTTAATGATAATTATGCTTTCACCTCAGACCATCAGGTAACAACAAGAAAAAGGGCAACAATAAGCTTCATTGATAAAATTAAACAATCTTACCCTTCTTTCAATCTCATTACACGGTCATCGCTTGAAAGGTTCCTTTCTCCCAGCCATCTGATGAACTCAGGAGACACGTCCTTATTTGCTGGATTGATGTCAACAATGACAGATTCATCAACATAAGGAGTCACTCTTGCACCATAGCCAGTTTTAACCAATGCCCTCAAACCAGATTGGAAGTCAGAAATATAGAAATCAACCACATGCCTCTGCAGTCAGATAAAAATATTAATTATTTGTTGTATATTACTGCCTGAGCTACAGCACTCCATGCATGTGCGTGCGTGCGCGCGTGAAAGAGAGAGAGAGACGGAAAAAATCTATCATTTAGCACCAAGAAATTGTAAATCTGTAACAAAATGACCCTATATTTCTCAGGCAATTTAGAATGTTATCAACTTGTAGAGCTCACTCTGTTTTCAAATAACTACTAAGGAAATTTTAAAGAAAAATGTGCAATGGAATACAGTTTTGACCGAGGTGGAGACAGGGGAGGACAAAAAAAATTGCACTGGGCTAATATATAGAAGAAAAAAATTTCGTAATTGTTTTAAAATATAAAAAAAGGGGCTTGGGCAAAGCCCAGGTTGCCCCCCATGGCACCTGTTTTGGTGCAAGGAGAAAAATTGGTTTTTAAGTTCCATTTCTTGTAATAAATATCCTATGTCATATCGCCTATTTAATTCAGCTTTAGTATTTAATGTGTGAAATTATCTATATGATAAGAGATATATTTCGTAGAATAGATGCTTCTGAATCATGGATTACTTTCTATTCTTCTCAACTATATGAAGCTTTACCTGTCAGCAGAGCCTGTCATGTCAGTAAAATTTTGTTCCTTTCCCCTTTTCTCGGTAGGTAATTGTAGAAATGTATTTGATTTATATCAAGTTAATTGCCAGACTACTAACTCGTAAAACAATGCTAATCTTCAGAACATTTAAGGGACATAATAGAAATCTTTCCACATTTAATGCAGGCATTACTTGTTTAAAACACGAGATGTCAAGCAGCATTAGCATAATAACAATATTCCTTACTCACCTCTAACGAACGAAGGCCCCAAGTAAAGCGGCGATGTGTGGGGTTGGCAGCTTTCGAATCCCATCCTCGGTATTCATACAAACTCGTGGATGTATAAACACATCTAGGAACTTTCTGGAATGACGATTCAAGGGGAACATTTCCACAGGTAACAACCTTCAAAGAATGCAACCCTTCTTTGTTAGGAGTGGTGTGCGGATAGTTTAGGCAGTACACAACACAATTTAAATGCAATTTCAAGGGGGAGAAATTCACTGTTTATGGAAAGGTATGAAGACAACAGTAGGAGCATGTTTGGCTAAGCTTAAAAGTTACTTTTCTATAAAGAAAAGTTCTATCAGTAAAAATAGTAACTTTTAAAATTTTATTTGGCAAAAAAGAAGCTTTAAAGTAACTTTTACTTTCTCCTTTTATTTTAGCCAAACATGCTCCTAGTCAAAGCATACCCATTACTGGTACACAGAACGAAGGACGCTTCTATAGACAATTTGAGGCTACAGATTTACTTAGCCCTTGTTCGATTTTGATTCTTTGAGAATCACTTCTCTCACACACTCATTTTCAACCATACAATCTCCAAAAAAAAAAACATCATTTTTCACATTTTCCCATATTTCCTACTTTTTAACCATATATTCACCGAAAAAACATTTTCAAAGAATCACTTCTCGAAAATATTTATTAAACAAGCTTTCACATAATGCTAAAGAATTTATCTCAACAAAATGCCAGCCGCAATCAAAATGTATAAATATTTATAATTGTCTAAAAAATCATGGAATATGTTATTTTACTAAACTTCATAGCACAAAGAAAGGTGGCGAAAATATGCAAGGCATTTTTATTCTATATAGGAAAGACATACAAAGATTTGTCTCTGCAGGTGCACTAGAACCATGTATCATCCTAATCAACAATTCACCATGACGAACCTGTAAATCTGTCCTTATTGACCCTATTTTCTTCCATTCTCACTATATTTTCACCATCTTGACACCAATTTCAGAAGAAAAATGATTTTTATATACTATTAATCATCAATGGAATGTGTTTAGTCAGTTTCGATTATTGAACAAAACCATCCAATCATAAAGAATCTGTTTGGAAGAAGTAAATAAAATATAGTTCCTGAATCAACCTACGATCTATGTTGGCACCACTTTGGAGACCTTGGAACATGTTTTTGAATTTTATAAGAGATCCATGATGCAACATGAATGTAAATTGCGGAATTACTATATTAACTGCTCTTCTTGTTTGTGGGGCCTGGGAGGAGGGGTTTGGTTAAGGGAAATAAGAAGTTGAACATGAAAGTCAGCATGGTAAACATACCCCAGAAACTTTGACGAACTGTCCATCTTTTGCAGTTCTTAACTGAGTATCTGGATAATCAGCTACAAAACCAGTAATAGCTCTTCGTCCCCAACAAGTATTCCAGGTAAATACTGTAGCCACAACAGCAAAAAGTATAACGACGACTACAAGAAGAATGGGATTGTGAACAGCCCCAAGGATAAAGCCTCCCGCAATAAATCCCATCACAAAGAGAAGAATGATGGACCAAAGGATTAGCTTTGGGAAGCTTTTGTGGAAAGAATATTCATCATCCTGGCTAAGGTGAGTAACAGCTGGATTATTGACTGTGGAAGCATCTCTGTGCAACTTCATTGATCCAGTCGACTCTAAAGGACCAGATGCCTTGCGAGGAGCCCCTGATGAATTTAGAGGACCTGAAGTAATAGGCCCAGATGTAATGAGGCCGGTAGTTGGAAGAACGGGAGGAAGAGGGCCAGAATTTTGGCGGGACATGGCAGTTGCTCCTCCACCTTGAGGCCCAGATGACTTTTTCAGTGGCTCTCCATGTTTATTAAGCGGACCAGAATTAGTCTTCTTTAAAGAAGCTGATCCAGAAACACCACCAGAAGAACCAGAACCCGCCCGATTCACGGAATTTAGTTGGCCCGAGTGAGAAGCAGAGCCACCAAAAGACCCCGTTCTTGAAGGAGCATTGTTAATGGGACCCGATTTTCTCGACCTGGAGCCATCCATTGGGATATCAAACATTTTACCGAGTTCTCCAGACTTTTTGATATCGCCACCAGTGTATGGCATGGCTACGGAGCTCATTGTGGGGGTCTTCTCTTTTGGCTGCTCAGGCCGGCCTGAGACATAAAGGCCATTACTCAGCTGATGAGATTGGAATCGCGAACCCATATTGCTAATTCAATTCTCGCAAAAGACAAATGAAAATACGTAGTGAACAGATATCCTGCAACTTTCACAATATTTGAGCAATCAAAACTTGATCACGGTCACAGAGCTCAACCTAACGGCACTTCCAATGAATAATTGTACCTAAAAATGTGAAACCAAAAAAGAACTGGATTTAGTTAGCTGTATAGGTTCCTAAAACATATATAAACTTTTTGATATTCCTAAAATCAATCAAAGCTACTGAAAGCTATATTTACGTATATCCTAGATTTATCAAATTTATACAAAACCGGTAAAGAGAAAAATTAAAAGAAAACGCTCACATAATCCAAAATGCAACAAATAAAAACAATCAAAGAACAAAAATATTCATCAGAATTTTAACTAGAACAAGGCATCATTCCCATGTCATCCAAAATACAATATAATGCCTATATAAACCAAAAATCACAAATTGTCAGAAAGAAATACCACGCGTAGAACAGATCTGGAAAGTGGAAACGAGTCAATCAACCCCAATCGTGAATGCAAATCAATAAAAAACCCAGAGAAATTTGATGTTAAAAAAAAAAAAGGAAAGGACTTTGCAGAGCCATTATCAGCACAACACGTGTAAATCATCAGACATGTATTTTCAAACCTCACATTATGAAGAACTACAGAGAAGCCAGAACTTTGCAGATCCAAGAAGAGCATCGAAAGCAAACATACCCAATAACTCATAAATCACGAGGGGAAATCAAATAACTCAAATAGATATTTATGTGTTGAGTAGGTAAAAAATCTATTTTTGGAGAATCACAGAAATTACGACGCAGAACCAAATTTACCAAAAATGGGACGCTGCTATATCTTGAAATCAAGAATCCATGAAATCAAGACCGGTGTGGACAAATGAAGCAAGTGAAAGAACCCACATTTTCATTTTGACAAAGAGCAAATCAAATGACAGAGATCACAAAATCCAAGCCTAAAAGTAAAGAAACATGGAAAAAAATGCGTCTTTCTGTTTGTGTGTTTGTGTGTGTGAGAGAGAGACAGAGAGACATACCTAAACTGAAGAATGAGGAGAGCATTTGAAGAAATGGAGACATGAAGGATTTGAGTTTTGGATTTGGGATTTGTTTAATGTGTTTGCTGAGAAATTTTGTTGAAGAAAAGGTGCAGAACATTATACATATTTGAGTAAATTATGAGTAATTGAGAAAAGGAAAGGGAAAAAGTGTGAAACTGAACACACACACTTCATCTTCCTCCTTTCTGCTCCTGTACCAGCTTCAACAGTTCAAATGGCAACTTTGACCTTTGTGTGACCTGGAATATCCAATTTTACCGTAATTTTCAAGAATATTATTTTCAAATAATGAGGGATGATTTGGATTGGTATGGCGCAATGTTTGGTTCAGTCCGAAAGTATTCCCTACTTGACCATTATTATTTTCAATTTTTTTTTTATAGAGAGCCCGTTTAATTTTCATTATTGTAGAATGAAAATGAAAAATATAGCTGCTATTGAGCCTCACACAAGATATAGAAATTCAAAATTGATGACTTGATGTAATGAATATCGGTCATATTTTTTATTTTTATGAATGAAAAAGAGAAACAAACGTGCCAATAAAATCACTATTTAAAACATAAATTTTCTCATTTAATGGTTGTCAAACAAGGGCATATATCGTTTTTACCAAAATTTCCAAGAATATTAAAAATAATTAGATAGGTTTGTATAGATTGGGTGGAGTTCTGTCTTTCGTAATCTTCAGTTCGATCGATTCTAATGTGAACATAGTTCAACTAGATATCGGTAATGGGTTGAAGTAAAACAAAAATCCATTGATCTAGTTTGGTTTGATTCTTTTTGTACTTAAAAAAATTGTAAAATTCAAATCACAATAAATCATAACCAATTTGATGCACCATGGAAGCTTAAAACGATAAACAAGCCTAAAATTATTCGTAATAATGCCCAAAAAATAAAACATCAAGAAATCTTTAATTAATGTACGAATAGCGAGAATTTAAATCAAGAAATTGAGGTTGTTTTCACATGTTTGGCATGCGTTTATATTAGAATAATACTATTTGCAGTCACCTTATGTGGCACACACATATTAAATGTGCGTTTGATACATTAATATAGTAAAAAAAATCACCACATTAATGCATTAAATAACTACTTACTATGTATATACCATCTGTGAACAACTATGAATAACATTACTCTTTATATTGAGTAATGCTATTTATCTCCAGTGGGGATGGAAACACAGTTTATGTGGCTTTAAATGATATGTTAAATGAAATGTGAAATTAAATGACTTATTTAATTTCACATATCATTTAATACTACATTAACATCACATTACTCATTTATATTAGAGTAATGCTATTCATCTCCACTGTGGAATAAAATACAGTCTACGTGGTGCTAATGTGACATTAAATGATATGTCATTTAATTTCACATTTCATTTAACATATTATTTAAAACCACGTAGACTGTGTTTTCATCCTCAATGGGGATGAATAACATTACTCTTTATATTATATATACATTTTAGTCAAACCTACTTTTCAATCATACATATAATGTGACTGTTGATTTATCAATTACTCATTTCTATCCATATAATTAAAACGGGTTACACTAATGCCAAATTTAATCCAAATTGCTCTCTAGTCCCTAGACTATTATCCATATAAAAATTTGATCAAAATATAATGTCATAATAAAAATATGAAATTCAGATCAAACTCCTGTATATCATTATGTCATGTACTACCTCACAATCTTTCCACGAACTAAATCTGAGCCAAGCTCAAGTAGCTTGTTAATTTAGTATTGTATTTGATAGTTAGTCAGTACAAAAAGTAAGTTTTCAAGTATAAAAAACAAGTTCGCGTTTTCATTACCAAAGTCCCGAGTGCTTGAGTAGGGATAATAAAAAAATCGATCGACTAAAGGCCTACAATGTCCTGATTCGAATAGGACAGGAATTCCTCGTCTCGTTGGTTGGCGGGGCAAAATCGGAGCAAAAAATTCCAAACAAGATGGGGCACAAAATGATTGCCAACCCAACCCATACAATCGCCACCCCTAGAACACCTCCAATAAAATATAGTTTTTCAATAAATAGAAAAATAACATTTTATATGTAATTAAAATTATAACGTATAAACACATGTAGAGACATATTTCAATCTCACAAGAATTCGTCTTGATAAGAGTTCGACACAAATGCTTCACAATTTCTTGTGTTGTGTTGCTTTCTTAGATGCTTTGAGGTTCGGGTCGAGATGTTAGAACTCCGCCAACAAAATCAAGTAGCTTAAAATGTGCTCATGGCCAAAAGTTTTATTTTTTCTTCGTTGTATGATAGTTATTTGTTTTCTTCTTCGAGCAAAATGGTAGAATAATTTTATCATCATCGCAACAAATGTGAGACAATTACATGAGAAAATCAAGTTTTGGAGACAAATTTTAAACGTTACTTCAATCCATTCATGATTTGACACTCCACTTAATCCATTGCTTAATATGGTTAATTTAGATGGCTAAATCATCAAGCTAAAAGACTATTTTGCAATCATGGTAGGGTATAGGCCTTTAACCAATCCACATTTTGGCCATGAATGTAAATGTAATCCAGTTAAAAACGACTTTTTTGATATGTTCGCGTCAACAATTTCTCACGTGAATTTGATTGGTCGTCCCACCTTGTAGGTTCCTCCATTGGAGACAAAAATTTTTTTTTTTTAAGAAAAATGGAAAAGTATCTCTCAATATTAGTGTTATGATCGAATTCTACGCTAGTTTGTTACGTTTTAGTATAGAAATTTCAGTACTTAATTATTTAAAATATAGATTAATCTATGTACACATAGAAGTTCACATAATGTGAGTGGGGTGGGGCCCACGATACTGTAGCATGGGTCCCACCCCACTCACATTATGTGAACCACTATGTATACATCTAGCTTTGCACTTAAAATATTATACTAAATTCATCATCGTTAACTTACATTTAAGGTGCGCTTGATTGCGAGTATGAAATTTGCATAGATAAAAAATAAATTACAGGCAATTCAATTACTTGTAACTTATTTGTATAAAAATTATTAATTAAATGTATTTGAATGATTTAGTTTTCAACCTTTATTAGTGGACAGAAGAGAGAGTGTGTGTGTGTATGTGTGTGAATTACCTAAAAAATAAAAATCACTCATTCATAAAGAAAATATTTTTCTTGTTTGTGAAAAAAATATGATCACATGACCAAAAGTTAAAAAATATTTTTCATGGAAAAAATATTGAACACCCCAAAAGTATGAATTTGAGTGAAAAAATGACATTTTCATAGAAAATAGAACGACTAAAACACACTCGTAGTTCATGGGAATTTCAAAACTAACATTATTTTCTTTATTCTACATAATGTTACTCTCTTGTTGTCCTAACCCGCCTTTCTAAATTGGGTCTGAAAAACGTGTACGTTACAAAGTTCTGATGTAGAACTCGTTTGATTCGTCGCACATATCGAAGTTAATATTTGAATCCAAACAATGCTTCATTATTGCAAATAAATAGTTAATATTTGTTAAGTGCATTATCATGTCCCATAGAATCATTCAAAGACATAATATGAACATTACATGTGAGTCTTTTTTTCCCTTTAGGTTTAATTGATGTGATTATTAGGACCCATTCCCACTAAATTAGTAAATTGAGCAATTTTTATTGGTTGATTAAACCCCTACCGAATGGCATAAAATCATTTAAGATCCTTCAAAGAAGCTTTTCAACAATTTTATAATAAATAGAGGTGAAGTGAACAAGTTGCCAATTTTTGTGATACCCAACAACTTCAATTTTAATATTTTGCGTACACTCTTTTTATTGTCAATTATTTATGGCATACGTAAATGCTTACAACATATCACAAATACATTAGTGAATGAAATAGATAATAGTAGATATGAATAAATGTTATAACTAT